CTTTCATCTTCGTTCGCATTTGCCGAGGAAGGACTGATAATGCAATTTTCCATAATGAAGCGAGTTCGCATTGCCCCCCAAAGGATACTCTTCTCTCCATGAGATTGGATTGGATTAGAGTACCGTTTCTACCTCCCCGCGGTCTCATCAGCAGCCGCAACAGAAATCGAACCCAGTTAACTCTGCGAGACGTCCACTAATTACAATGTCAGTCACAGGGAAGATGTTAACTTCAGCTCTAGCCAAACCTTTAGCATATCGCCTGTGTTGAGTGCAAGTGTCGACAAATAAATCTTCTATTTGCTATTACAGTCGACCATACTACTTATATTCGGAAAGAGTAGCTTTCGAAATTACCAGCAGAGCGCGAATAGAAACTGCATACTAACTCAAAAAGAATTTACTCGCAGATGTAAAGATTAAGATGGCGTGGTATTGGCAGTATAGAAGTGGTTTCACTTGGTTTGCTCTACTTGATCCTGTTATCATGGCGACTTGGACGAACAAACCTTGTCCGAGGTTGTCTTCTCTGGTAGGGGTGGACATTGTCAGCATTGTACAGTTGATTTGCTACATTCCTTGACGTTTGCCTTTATTGTCAATCTACTTCTCCAGTCTTGGCATCAGGCTACAACTCATCCGGTGTCTCTCCTTCTCTCTCTGCATATTCATTTATCCCATAAACTGGTATCACCCTCGCACCATCTTGATGTTGATACCGGCCAAATGGCTGGCAATGAACCGTGGCAGAGGAATTCAGACTTGGTGTGCTAATCCAGGTCACTCTAACAACACTAGCAAGTTTGTAAAACGAGGTCAAACCATTTGAGGCACGAGTTGGAGCGGAGGTAACCGGCAAAAGGTTGCCTATTCTGTGGTCACTTTGACATTTACAGTATGGCCTATCGTCCTGGCAATTGGAAAGACCGTACGCCTTCGGTCATTTGAGGGCACAGCCACCTTGAGCCCACTCATGCAGCCGACAACGGGACATCTTCCAATGCCGCTCGTGTGGACATCGAGGCTGACTCCGTGGCAGATCTCCGTCTTTACGCCCAAATGTGTACCGTCCGATTGGACGTTTTGGTTGAATAGGCAACTATGGATCGATGCGAATGGGGATATTAGTTCTATGAACAAAGGCATGCAGACACACGTGAACGTCTTCCATCTTGTAGGGGCGCAGTGGCGAACTGACGCGAATGTTGGGCGATTTCGCAGGCATCTCACACACCCGTGGGCCGAATGCACCCTTTTAATGCCCATTTAAGCAGGATTGTAGTACCAACCACCCTCAGGGATGGGGAAAACACATCACCTCTGGCTCGTACAACTGGCTCAGCACCATCAAAGTGGCCACTTTGTCAGACCCGTAGACGCCATAATTGCCATTTCAGTTGATGGCAGTTTTTCCGTTGCTACGACGTCCATGTTGAGACTCATCGTGTAGCCAATTGGTGCAAGGGTCGTGTGGTGTGTCGGTCGTTTCACTCACACTTGGCGGAGGGGGGGAGGCGGAGACTATGCCGAACCGGCGCTGTAGGGGAAGGAGGAGAGAACGATATTTTTTGGATATATTGTGACATGGCTGTGCATTTCGATTGAAAAGTTGCTTGGCAACGATTCGTGATGTCGTCTCGCCGGAAACCGAAGGAGGAGGGCGGCGTAGGGAAGACTGTTGAATGGTGTGAAGAAGTCCTGCTGCCACATGATCAGAGCAAGATTCCATACTTTACGAAATAGAGCAAACATATACTAAACCGCAGCCATAGTCGCCTTTGTATGCACCCACCATCGCCTCTCCTGATGTGGTTGGCTGCTCCAACTTTACTCGCAACATGTTCAAATTGGTAGGAAGACTTATTGGAACGCACCTAGTCCGGGGTCCATTGTCTGCATAATCACTTTCAAAGTTGAACCGTGGACGTGGTACATTCCCAGACGTTTCGCCGGCATCGTCAGTGAGTATCGCCATTCT